GGCAGGTGCAGCGTGGGAAACTCGAACCCCGCGGGGTAACCTGAGCGGAGGGCGGGCGGAGGAGGAGCAGGGGGGGCTGAGGGGGGGGGAGGGGGGGGGGTCGCGGTGTCCGTGCTCAGCCCGGGGAAGGGACGCGGTGCCCCCAAACAGCGGTGGTCCCCGTCCCCAGGTGGGTCCGCACCTTACCGCGGCCAAAAGAGCCGTTGCCCCATCACCCTCCCCCCATCCCCAAATCCCCCACAGCTGTGCCGAGGTTCCTCCGCTTCCCGCAGCACTGAGCACGGCAGGGGGGCACAGCCCCGTCCCGACCGCGGCACCGTAGGAACGCCGGTACCGGAAAGGGGAAGGGGGGGGGGGGGTCTCTGTGTGTCCCCCCCCCCGAGAGCCCCCCGACGCGGAGCCCCTCCAGGGTGCCGACCCTCCCGCCCCCCATCCGCACAGCGCTCCGGTACCGGCGGGGATTCCGCGAGGAACGAACGGAGCCCCTCGGAAGGACCCCCGGAGAACTTCCCCCGCCGTTACCGGGACCCGCGCTCCCCCCGCCCGGTTCCGGTATCGGTTCCGGAGCCCCGTACCACCGCGCAGCCCGTCACCTGCACGCACCTCCGCCGCTTTGTTCACCTTAAAATGGCAGCCGGGAGCGCTGCGGGACGGGACCGGCCCCGGTTTCCGCCTCCGGGGGGAGCCCCGAGGGCGGCCCCGCCGCCGCCGTCCGCCCCCACCGCGGGGAGGGGGAGCGGGGACTGCGGGCGGGGGTCCGCGTTGTGAGCGGCGTGCAGCGGGAGGTCGGGGTTGGGTTACTTCCTTTTGGGGACCGGGGCTCAGCACCTCCTGGGTGACATCGGGGGACCGGAGCGTCCCCGGGGTGCTGGGTGCCCCCCACCCACTGCTGGTACCCCAGGATGCATTGAATCCCCTCGGAAATATCATCGGATTTTATTATAAACTATTCCGATCCCACTGCGGCTGCATCTGCTGGGTCCCGGGGCTGCAGAGCCACCAGAGACCCCCCAGAAGCCCCAGATTTGCTCCCTTTGCCCAGGTGGTCGCAGTGCAGCAGCTGGGCAGTGGGTGCCCGTAGTGCCATCGGCCCAGCACTGAGCCCCGCGATGTCCCCAGGGATTTGGGGGGGGGTCCCCATCCATCGTTCCCCGCTCAGAAGAGGACGGTGCTGCTGCGGTCACTGCTGCGGTCGAATTCATGGATCTGTGCCTTAATGTGCGTCAGCTTCTCCTTCAGGTAAAGGCAGCGCTGCCGCTTGGCCACGAAGGCCAAATCCTGGCAGTGAGGACACACTGAGCCCCCCCCC